CCCAGGCTGGCCTGGAACTCACTCTGTAGCCCAGGCTGGCCTGGAACCTGTGATGACTCTTAGGCTTCAGCTTCATGATAGGTTCCACAGATCTGAAGCTGAAATGGTTTAGAAGAGGTTTTCTGTCTCAGGGATCTTTTGAAAATGAAGGGGATTTTATCTCCAAGGGCAAAAAGGTCCTATAAAGCACAAAGCACCCCCGGACAATGAAGTGTTTCATAAACCAAGAGGGCGGGAGCATATGAGCTGGAAGAAATGGTTTGGACCTAACCAATTTCAAGGTGTTCACATTCTGCCTAAGGTTTTAGTTGGCAAATAGAATTCAAACGTCAACATACAGCTGTGCACATTCTAATTATTTATGATAAATGTGAATTTTCCTATTTGGAGATATACATGTGTAAATACACACACACACACACACACACACACACACACGCATGTGGAGGGCGGGCAGTTTTCTGTCTATAGCGCATCTTTCCTTTCTGCCACACATGCGACAATGTCTGTAGTGTTCCTTTCTTTTCCCCCACGCACGCGGCAAGACCCAAGCACAGTTACCTTCTTTGACTAAGCTGTCAGTGAAGAGACTGGTGAGGATGGCTGCCGGGAGGGTTCCATTGCCCAGCAGGATCCCGGACAGCATCGCCAACTTTGTCTGCTCTGCTTCAGAAAACGCTTTAAGGAAGAGGAGAAGCTGCGGGTCAAACAAAAGAGATCATGTCTATACGTGCAGACACCGGGGTAGGAAGACAATGCAATGAGAACATCCCGCCATGTCTAGGTGAGGAAGCATATGGTGCAGCTGTCACACGCTGGACACGCACGCGCAGCTGGCACACGCTGGGCACATATGCGCAGCTGTCACACTCTGTACACGCACACACAGCTGGCACACACAGGGCACATATGCGCAGCTGTCACACACACGCATGCAGCTGTCACACTCTGTACACGCACACACAGCTGGCACACACAGGGCACATATGCGCAGCTGTCACACTCTGTACACACACGCGCAGCTGGCACACGCTGGGCATGTGCCCAGTGACGAATGGACACTGTAAAAAGCCAGGCTGTGACACAATACTTTTCTCTAGGTTCATGCACACGTAGCTATAGTCACAGTAAGAGATGCTTAGGGACAGTGTGTACATATAATGTACATGTGGCTATTGCACCTGGAAAGGGGGAAGCTTATAGTGACCATGTATTCTGTAATATATTAGCTTTCACCCCGTTCCCATGTTGGGTGACCAGTTCCTCACCATGGCATATGCAAAAGCTTTATTTTCGAAGGAACAAAATTTCAGGTTTATTGATTTACATGTAAGTGTGTGTTTGTGTATACTTGTCATGTATATGCAGGTGCCTGGAAAGTCCAGAAGAGAGTGTGGGATCCCTGGAGCTGGAATGACAGGTTATTATAAGTCATCCAATGAGTGCTGGGACACAGGCTCAGGCTCTTTGCAAGTCTAAGAAGCACTTTCCACTGCTGAGCCTCCTCTCCAGCCCCCTGAATTTAACTTTTTGCAAACACAAAACACAACAGGAAAGAATTCATGTGAAGTAAGACCTTTGAGGGAGAAAAGGGTTGTCCAAGTCTTTAAAACATTCAGAATCAAGCACATTGTTTCTTGGATCATAGTTTAAACCCAAGCCTTGGTAAGGAGGCAATGGAAGATACGGGATAAAGTAATTTCTAGAAAGAATGTGAGAGGACTCTTTGACTTTGGGAAGAAGGGAGAAGATGTGCTGGTCATAATGCTTCAAACCTTAAGATCTAAGAAAGTGAGGGAGGGTGACTTACAAAGTTTGAATAAAGCAAAGGGGATTTTATGCCCCTCTTCACAATGAGTTTTAAGTCCTTGGGGCTGTGGGATGTGGTCCTTCATTGCCTAACTTTGTTGCTTTATGCTGTGACTACATTTTCTCAAGTTCATCATTTCTCAGGTATGATGCTGACATCCCCAGGGGCTCCAATCACAACAGGGACCCGGCTGTGTTTTCAACACTCAGCACCAGGGAAGATTCCAACATGAATACAGGTTTATATTTACATGCTGGTGACGCGATTCTCTTACTCGCTCTGTGATGTGTGTAGAACACACAAACTCGGCATCCTTAGCACCCCAAAGACTTTGTTTCAGAGCAATCACATTACCCCGATATTTATACTGAGTAAGTGCAAGAACCAGAATCAAAGCATTTGGCTTTGATCCATGTCTAGGAAACTCTCAGCAAAACGAGGCATCACCTCATGCCAGGGAGCAAGAGTGCTGAAGTTAAAAACTTGCGTGAGTGTGTGCATGCACATGTATGTGTGTGCAATATGGTCTTGTTTTGTGGCCCAGGTGGACCCCAATCAGGATCCTTCAGCCTTAGATATTTGAATTTACCTTTTTCATTTCATCTTCAAATGCTTTTTCCAAATATTTGTATCTCCTGATGAGTTTATTGAAGACCTAAACATAAAACATAGACAGAACTGCTGAATTATGCAAACAAGATTAAAGGCCATAGAAAGAGAGGTAGAAACTATATCCATCGTCATAGCTCTGGAATGATAAAGGCAAAAGCTCTCACATTAAGACACTGGATCCATAAGCATTTCAAAGAAGGTGCCATGACTCCAAGAAAAATAGGATCAAATACACACATAGGATAAAAACCAATTCAAGAATGGAGAAACTGGGGGCTGGAGAAGCGAATCCAGATTAAGAGTGCTTGGTACTGTTTCAGAGGACGGAGCTCGATTCCCAGCATCCATCTCGGGAGGCTCAAAAGTTCCTGTGACTCCAGCTGTAAGGGAACAGAAGGTTTCTGGTCTTCGAGGAGAACTGCCGCTGTGCACAGTTCTTTACATGAATAACACAAATAAATACAGTGAAAGCAAAAATACAATCTGAAAAGAAAAAATAGAGGAAAAAAGAATAGAAACAGAAATAGAATAGAAACAATGTAAATAAACAAATGTTGGTGAAAATAAAAGTTTCAGTCTTCCAGAAGCAGAAGTTGAAAGAAACCAGACTTAGAAATTATGGTCCTCCCAGCTGTGGAAGTCTAAGAGTCTGGAGCCCTGGGAGTTTGATATGAGACCCAGCCCCCAAACCCCAAAAAGGTGAGCTATGGAACGGAGTGTTACAGTTTAAACCCACGCCTTCTCAGAGCAGTTACCACTCTTACATACACAGGAGAAATAAAGAGATGTAGAGGACAGACCAGCGCCTGAGCAGTTTGACCTGTTCCATATGGAATCACCCCCCACCATGTTGGTAATGAGGCCCGCCATGCAAATGCATGCTCCCCACTGAGTCACATTGCCAGCCCACAGCCCACTCTTTTAAACGGGTCCGTATAGAACCAGAGCAGGGAAACAGGCCTGGCTAGCTGCATTTGCAGACCTTTCACACGGCCCTAAAAACACCTTACTTTTTTACCAAGCTAATATGGGTAAAGTGACGCGCCATAATTTTAATATTCCCCCTAAGAGCCAGTGAGTTTATACACACTCACACACATTTAACAGGGGTTGACTTATGATTCTCCTACAGGTTTTATGCCATACAAGTATCTTTTCCCTCTCCTGAGTTTTGAGACTGGGTCTACTGAAGCCCAAGCCGGTCCCCATCTCACCATAGCTGAGGATGAGCACAGGCAGGCACCACCGCGCCCAGTTTATGCAATGCTCGGGGATCAAACCTCGGCTTTGTAAATGCCGGGTGAGGGCTCTATTAGCTGAATTCCACTCCAAATCCTTTCTTACTCTTGATTTTTAAAAAATTGATTTATTTTTGTGTATTGGTGCTTTGCCTGTATGTGTGTGTGTGCAACATGTACACGCATGGTGCCCTTGGAGATCAGAGAGCAGGTTGTCTGATCCCCTAGGATGGGGGATCCCCAGTAAGTTGTCATATGGGTGCCGAGAATTAAACCTAGGTCTTGTAGCAGGGTAGGCAGCCCAAGTCTTGATCACTGCAATGTCTCAGCCCTCCTCATACTCTTCAATAGCTACACTATATGCAGTCTATCACTGTAAGTCACATACTCTTCAATAGCTACACTGTATGCAGTCTACCGCTGTAAGTCACAAAATTTTCAAATGAGTTGTACATTTATTTCCCTCCTTTGCATTACTGACAATCACCGTGGCCGTCTTATCCATCCTCAAGTGTGGCTGCGAGAGGTCTTAAGACCAAGCTATAAAACCAATCGGTCGAAGAGAGTGTGCAGCTTTAGTAGGAAAAGAAAGATCAAGACTGTTTTCTCCAAAATAGGATGAATTTATAGAGAGCACCTGGAGAATTGTAGGCGGGGAAAAGGGATGGGATCTTCTAAAAAGTTAAGGCTCGCTAGGAATGCAACTGTGTATTTTTCCACGCACACGAGAGATGTCTAGCACTGCTATTTAGAGATCCTGTCCCCTTCCTTTCTGTTTGGGGCTTCTGTTCCCGCGCGGCACGCCAGGCTGTACCTGAGCATAGTTTCGGATGGTTTCATGATCTTCGCTGGCGGAGAACACACAGTGGTTGGTCATCTTGGTCTTGTCACCATCGTCTATGCGTGTTCCTCCAGGGGCTGGAAGACAGGTTGGCACAGTTAGGACGGTGTGAGGGACAATGCCAAAACAGGAAGGAACCATCAAGGAAACGAGAGAGTAGGCGTAAAAACAGTCGCGGTGCGCTTCATTCGTAGGGCGCACGTGTGCAAATACAGACAGGCTGCCGAGCATTTGTTTCCAAGACAACCCAAGTAAGTTGTTCCGAGTCATGTATTGACCACACCTGTTCCGTGTCCTGGCATTCACTAGATCCTGTCATTAAAAACCTAGTCCTTTCCAAAGTGGGTACGTAGCCATGAAAAAAACCTCTACTGAGTGTGCACTGTGTCCCTGTCCTCAAGGCATTTTGGATGCTTCTTCCTACACTGGGCCATGGCTTTTTTTTCAGGACTGGTAAATGCCTTGCTGGACTTTGTCCACCTAACCAGGACGGACAGATTCAGCTCTGTTTTTCTTAAGTTTTATTATTTTTTTTTAATTACTTCTATAGATATGTGTGTCATTACACACTTGAGTGATGCTGACTTGGCTGGAGGCTAGAACAGGATGTGTCAGATCCCCTGAAGTTAGACTTAGAGGAGGTTGTACACATAGGTACAGGTCTCGGGTCCTCTGCAACAGCAGCATGCGCTCACCGAGCCATCTCTCAGCAGGGGTCCAACTCTCATGGATGGAGAGTCTGGTGGTCTGGGCTCTCACTACTAACTGTGGGCTCAACCATAGCAACCAACTCTTACGGACCCTTTCGGCTTCTTCTGGGATACAGGAATGTTCCTATAAAACCATTTCCTTTTTCGCCACCACAATGTCTCATTTGTGGCCAACAGTCTGTACTGATGCCTTGAACTTGTAGTCCTTTATCAGCTGCACTGGCTGGGACAGTATTTTAATTAATTCTCTCATTTGTTTGCAAGTAGATAGGATGGACCGGATCAGAAGAGTGCCTTTCTATCAGAGTTCAGTTTTCCACATTCCCATAACTTCCAACAGTGGCTACTATAAGCGCACTGACAAGGGCAGAAACAGTGCATCAAACATTTCTGTCTTCCAGTTCTATTTCACTTTAGTTAGGATGGGACTGCGTGGCCCATCTTGGAGATAACTCTTATATTTAATAAGTCTTTGAGGCATACAGTGTTTTTTTCTTTTTGGTCCATGCACCACAGGTATCGCAACAAGGAGAGCAATGTTACTATCCAATTTTTAGTCACTTCTAAAATTTAAATATGTGTAATTTATACAGCAATGAGGACACCAAAGTAGTCATCTACTTAAATTTGTGTAATTTAGCATTAAGTTAATTTGTGATTTCCGACACTGGGTGGAAAGGGCCGCAGGTAGCCACTTTTGGTACTGGATGTAGGAAATGAGAATTTTTTTCCCTTCCCGAGCTGTCTATGGGGCTTTAAACTTCAATAACGTTTTGTAAGTAAATTAGTTTTCAAGAAGTTAGCTCCTGCAGGGTCTATTTTCCTTAAAACAATTTAGACCCCCAATTTCATTAGCCCCTTTTAATGGACACAGCCAATGAAATTAAAATTATATTAAGATGATAATCTTCTCAAACCTCTGGATTAATTGTTCCTTCATGGTAAAAACTGAGGAACTGGAAAGTCTGACTTTGAACCTGCAGACTTTTCCCTGGGGAGGTAAAGGTTTTAAAAATGCATTCGTCCACACAACAGATAACGGTTATCATATGCTGACGATATGCTTGCATTTCAAATGTTTTCACATCATATTAGAAGCAAGTGTTAATTGCCACGTCTTGGTTTTGGAAACTCCTACTTTTCGAGATGGTAGTAGTAGCAGGAAAAAAATGTATCCTTTGTGGCTACAATGTGTCCTTTGTGGCCACAATGTATCCCTTGCAGCTCCTGTTTCTTGAGATAGAGGTAAAGGAAAAGACAAATATTCTTTGATGAAAGACCAAGAACAATAGGAAAACCTTATGGTATGAAGGAAATTCCTGCAGGACTGATCATTAACAAAGTATTCAGCTAAAGGAAGGACTTTTCTTAGTTCATCTTAAATCTGGACTCAAAGGCATCTGGATTGTATAAAATGGGCTAAGCTGTGTCAAACATATAACAGCCTGTTGTATGCATGGGCACAGTGTGGGATGAAGTCTGGGCTGCTGAGCTAAATCCGCTACTGATTGCAAATAAGGCCTCGAGGAAATCAATGCATAGTGTGCAGATACTTCAACACATTCACAGGGTGGGAGAAGACTGGAAGCGCGGTAGGAAGGACTCGCTAGCAATTTTATAGGAGGGGAAGGAAATAAAAACAGCTCAGCACAGACAGCAGGATTAAGAGTGCTGCCTGGAGGTCACTGGGGCCCTAAGACACGACACGCAGCTGTCACATGAGAACCTGAATTGTCTGCGGAAATGAGCTGCCCGCATCATCAGTTACAATAACAAGGTTCCATGGGGCTGACCAATGTGTGACACACTTGCTAACCACCCTCACAGAGTTGCCAGGGCACTGATAAAATATAACCAGTGAATACTGAAACTAATGTCAGAAAATGCCCTATTTCATTATAAATTTAAAAAATATCAACTGTTAATTTAATTGATGAAGATCTATAAAAAGACAAGCGTAGGAGATTCGTGATCTAAGGCAATATGTTAAGAAAAACATTTCCTTTGCCTGCTAAGATCCTAATAACTCTATCCTTTAATCACGTGGTTGGTGCTTTGCTAAATCACACAGAGCAGGATACAGGGATGTGTCTACAAACACACTGGAACTCAATATTTTTAAATATCACTGCGGTGCAACTCTTGAAATCACCCCAAATGTAACATTCATGGAGGTGAAAGGCAGAATATATTGCTCAGCAAACAAAAATTAACACGCATAGTACCAGACACATATAATATTATTCAGTTATCAAAACTGTGTGAGGGGAGAGACTTCGAGAAGGGACTGGCCAAAATATTATCAATGGTTATTTCTGGGTATTGGGATTTAACATACTGTATTGAGCTTTCTTGAGTTCTATAGCGATGAGTGAGTTGTATAAATGGTATCACAAATTAATTCAGAATGCAGTGAAGCTCGGCAATGCAGAACAAGGCCTGGTGGTTTGTTGGCTTCTGGCTGAAGTGGCTGCGTCCAGTGTGAACAGAAACCCTCTGTTTTGTGTTCTATGAACTAGTAATCATTTAAATCCACATTAATACCATTCAGAATTATAGTCTAGGTAAAAGTTGCAGATTTTTTTTTTAATTAACGTAAGCTTCCAAGGATTCTATCCTAAAAGGAAATATGATAACGGAATTGAAATACATACATACTATAAGAACATGCTAAAACCATAGGGCTTACCAAGCATGCTGCCAGCCACCAGGATGTCAAAGAGTGTGTCTGCATAGCGGCGATAATCTAACCGTGAGCCAGTAGAATCCAAAAATTTGGCTACAGCTTCGAGGTCGTCACCAGCCTCGTTAAGACCCTGGACAAGTGTATCCCTGAAGACTGTGGGTTCGAATTTCTCTTTTTCATCTGAAAAAAAAAATTAGGTTCCGTGTGTGTAAATAAAGTGCTGAAAGAAACTGGCCATATAGATTCCCATGTTCTAAAATCCCTTGTTTAAACATCTGTCCTGACAAACTGACTGACTCTGGACATTAAGGCCTCCAAACATTCTAAGTATCTAACACACAATAACATTAATGATTGTTCATTTGTAGGCTAGGCTAATGTATATCTACTGAGCCTAACCATGGGGGAAATTATAACTACTAAAACATGAATTATCATCTTGTCTGAGATGAAGAAGTGAAGCAGAGACTCAACAGTGGCTGTAGAAGATGAAAATGAACAAGACTGAAATGGAGGAAACAAGAAGGGGTCTCTTTTTTCATGCCAAGCTGGACGTGTGACGTAGAGTTCCAGGGTAGGTCCTGCCTTCTGGCCTTACCTCTTGACATTCAGTGCTGAGGATCACACACATTGTTTTTCTGCATGTGCATGGATGTTATATCTATTCATTATTTTACAAGAAACCAAAACACACTATTTTAGAATATTTACTCAAGAAATAAGACAATGAGATACTGTTTTAAGAGTTTTGCAATCTTTTCAGCGGATTCTTCTAGTTATTGCAATCTATTGCAATATCACACGTCCTCTAGACTCCATAAAACTATACTGCAAACTCATAGGAATATGAAAAAGAGGTAAACAGTGACTAGGCACATTTTGACTGGGCTGCAGAGATTTAAGGAAAACCAGCTATGACACAGTTGCTGTCTCCAGGGCACACCCATGAGGCAGACAGAGAAAGAAGCGAAGGCACCATGATCTGGTGCGGTGCACCGCATCCACGGACACGGAGGTACGGCATGGTGTGGCTGTGAGCAGTTGAAGGGGTCCTGGTCTAGACTTTAGATGGGTGTCGTGTGGAAGGTTGGTGTTGAAGAGAAAAGGGGAAGGGGAGAGTAATATTATAAATACTTCTGGAGTAACAGTGAGCTCTTGGAAAAGTGACAGAAACGTGAACTCAATGGGAGAACTGAAAGAGAAAGCTGAAAACATTTGTAGAGAACAATCTAGAAAAATCTCAGTAGAGGGGGAGGGGAAAATGATAAAATTCTAGAGGAACGAAGTCCATAGCAGTCATAGCTCGGAGCCCAAGGAACCCACAGGTAAACAGAGCAAATGTCACCTTTACTGAGACTCTAACCACGGCTGTCTCCTTGCTCATAATATGAAAAACACAGGAAATAAAAAGACCGTAGGCCCTTTATTAAGTCTGACTGACTTCAACTGACCATTTCTCTTATTGATACAACAACAAGCTTGAGCGTTAACTGAGATGTCGATCAGGTTTGATAAATTGGAAATTACAGACTGATGCGTTGAGAGATACAGTTTGGGGGGAGGGGAGAGAAAAAACCCAAAATGTGGCAAGAATACACACAAAAAGAACTATTTTTACCTAAGAGAACTTAAAACCTGTGTTTAAGCCAGACATGGTGGTACACACCTTTAATCCCAGTACTCTGAGTCTGGGGCCAGCCTGGTCTACAGAGAGAGTTCCAGGCAGCAAGGGCTACACAGAGAAACGCTGTCTTGAAAACAAACACAAAAACAAGACCTTCGTCTCTCAGTAATTTCCCAAAGGAACTGCCAAGGGAAAGGCAGGGAAAGAGAGACAAGACACAGCTATGGATGTGACGGCAGTGGTCACGGCCACCCTGACAAAGTCTAGAATCCTCTGGGAGAAGCTCCCCAGGGAAGATCCGTGGAGAGTTCTCAAGCATGTCTTCAGCGCTATCTGCTGTCAATGAGAGCAAGTGTGAGGACAGGCGAAGCTCAGAGACCCCGAGTTAGGGTGGTGTCCACACACATTTTTTCAGGGTGAAAATCTCTGTTAGGGGCTGGGACACAGCTTCACACCAGACTGCTGCCTCACTTGTGAGCATGTGCACGGCCCTGGCCAGTCTCGGGTCTGCGCGCAGGAGAAACAGCTGAAAAGTTACGTGTCACATATAATCCACACAGTACAGGTGCGGTGACTCAGACTGTGGCTTCCGTGCTCAGGAGGCTGAAACAGGCGGACTCAAGACAGCTGGGGTGACATGCCGAACTCTAGACTAGCCTGGGCTACAAGGTAAAACCTACCTGAAAAACAAAATCACACACACCAGAAAAGGAGAAAGAGACTGCTAACCAAGAGGAGGGCAACAACGTTGGTATTTTCAGTCATTTTCCACTTCATCTTATTTTCCTGACATAATGTTTTTTTAAGTTTTAGCTGAATCATTTTTTATATCCAAAGACAGAACTGTGTAAGCCTAATAATAAAGATTATATATGACACGTAACTATGCAAAACTACATTCTGTGCAAAATTGAACTACAAAGTTGGCAATTCATAAGATTGTGCAGGATGAGATATAAAGTTATGCTTTAAATACCCTACATAGAGGCCAACAACATAAACATTTTATTAAAAATAAACAAATAAATAACATTTCTCTCACAAACAGAAACGTTACTGCTCTTCATCGGCTGTGTCTCCTACTGTTCTGCCTACAGCGGAATGAAGCCCCATGCACATCAATGGCAGTGGATTTATCTAACCTCAAATTTCCGGGACACTTTTCTTTTTACATTACTATCCTTCTCATGGATATTTTCTCAAAAAACAAACCAGAACCTACAATATAAATGATATCAAAACAAGAAAGTTCATAAAAAAAAGGAAAAATAAAAAACAGCCAAGTTTATTTTATTAATTATCTTCATTTTGTCCCCAAAGAGGCAGAGGTAAGAGGTAAGAGCCACCCAATACCAAACATAAACAAGCCGGTTCCACAGCTGCACTGCGGAACAGGGCTACCCAGGGTTCCACCATACCAGTTAGGAGAGCAGGGCATCCTTCAAACCCTTCTCAATCCTAATAACCCAATAAGAGTGTTACACACGCATGCGCGCACACACACACAAATACACACACACACACACACACACACACACACACACACACCACAACCTACCCCTTTTCCGGGTTTTGAACCGCTGGCCTGTTAGTACTGGCTTCTGATGCTTATTCATAAAATTACTGAAAAAGAAAACAAAGTTTATGTGCTTTAAATTAGTCGTCCAAGTAAACTTATGAAGACAATAAACACATGTTCAACCTCAACCATGCAAGAATATGGATTTTAAATTACTGAATCAGCAAAGTGTGAACATTTATCTAGAACCACCTCTGGCAAGGGTTGGAAAACAACCACGTGCATCAAGCACCATGCCTTTAGGGAGTGTATGGTGAATATCTGTAAATGCGTACGTGTGTGTACACTGCAGCTTTGTGACTGTTCTCCTTTAACCAGGTCCCCAGACCAAGGCTGTATGGGAAAGATACAGTTGCAGCATACAGCATGTGTCTAGCTAAGTAAATTACAATTTAACCACCACATGGAAACTTGCACAGACCTCCCAAAGGCTGAATTAGATCTACCTGTGCCACTTCTCAGGTTTTGGCTCCATCTCTATGACGTAATTATACTCATTCCTCCTTTCTTCCCATCACCTACTGGGCTGCAACCTCACTGGCCTCTGCTTTTGCTCCGAAAGACAAGATGACATCCGGTTTCTGAGGCCACGTGCCTGCCTCTTTCAGGGTGGATCCCCCAGCTGCTGCTCATTCTCTACACACATTCACACACCTTCACCGCGTGTGGTCGCTTTAACCAGCGGCCTTCTCCTTCAGTCTTTAGCACCCCGTCATTTTATTGTCATCTGATTGCCTGTGGTCTGTTCCACCCTGAGTGTCTAACCTCAATGAAGTTAGGAAACTTGTAGGTTTTTTACATTACTTCCTGTCTTTAACAATTAACAATTAAGCAACCTGTAAGCAGCTGTGCTAACATGGAACAATGTTCCACTGTTAATAGGAAAAAAAATCCCTTCAAAGACGGTCATGTGTAACTTACATACTTATAAAGAGGGTAAATGTAGTATGTGCTTTCTCTATGTAAGGAAAATTTAAGTACTGAGTGATACCTCAAATTGGTTCTCTAAGACCTTTTAACAATAATAGCATGAATATACATCAAAAATATCTAGATTGCTTAAATCACAGAGGCCATGTAAGATAGTTACTCCATTTAACATCTATCATTTAAAAACATTTTAGTACTACAAAAACACTTTTATACACTGATTTGAACATGGCTAGATTTCTTCAGTTACACCATTCAATACTCAAAAAAATCTGCAGGACTCAAGCACTGTTTATTTATTTTTTTAATTTAAAAGACTCATTAGCAGTATGAAAAAAATCCTGATTCAACTTATAAAATAAATGTTCCTTCCCAGGGTTGGGGCTGTTGCTGGGCAGGAGAACGTTTTCGCGTGTGCATGAGGTCTTGTGTTCCAGCCCCAGAACCAGACAAAATTCTCCTCACCACCAAGAACTTCACATGGATTGTTATTGAAGAAGCAAAGCTAGCTACAAACAAGGCAACAGATGTGAGACAGAATTTGTTTCACCCCTGACGCTGCGCTGTTAGCACCTTCTCACAATGAAGGAACCGCTCTAGGAGGTGAGGATGCCCAGCCTGGGGAGGACTTGAGAGTATAAATCCCTCATCCGTGCCACCCCGATTCTTCTGACGGATACTGGAAAAGTAGCGCCCACGTACAGATTACTTATATAAACACGGAAACTCACTCAGAAATTCCCCTGTTGATATTTTTATTAGATTCACCGCAGATCAGCAGATACTGAACTGGTGTGACAGTGGTGAAATCATAGCCTGTGTCTCCCTCATCCCCCCTGCATCTCCCTCATCCCCCCTGTATCTCCCTCACCCCTTGCATCTCCCTCATCCCCCCTGCATCTCCCTCACCCCCTGTATCTCCCTCACCCCCTGTATCTCCCTCACCCCCTGTATCTCCCTTACCCCCTGTATCTCCCTCATCCCCCCTGCATCTCCCTCCCTTTCCATATTTCCCTAATCATCCCCAGAACAACAAACGACCCAATGTATCATCACTTGACAACCAACAATCACCAAGAGTTGGGGTCTCATTAGGAAATCTGGGGACAAAAACAAAATGTAAAATGTAACTCTCTGTCAAAATGTTCTTATTTTGTAAGTATTTGGGAAAAGTCAAGTGTGAGCTTTTGCTAACCAATTCAAAGAGTCCACTCATTAATGATGTCTTTGCACCCTATTCTCACCCCCCACACACACACACACTGAAGAAGTACCATAAAACCATTTTAAAAGTTTTAGCTTCTAGATCAGCTTCAGTTCTAAATGCCCAAGCTTTTCTTCCTTCCTGGTCACAAAATCTTACCGTCAACACCATCTAGTCTGCGTGGAGAATAACTGAGAAACACACACACACACACACACACACACACACACACACACACACACAGACTTATATACATCAGCACAATCTGAAACAGTCGAAATCTGTTCGCCACAGGCAGGACGAAGACGACACTGGTCACTGAGCTGTGACTATCTGCAGCGAGGCACACTTCCCTCTAATTTAGTTCTCCGTGCTACCCTGTAATCTGCTCCAGTGAGGGTCAGTCTTTACAAGGTCCTCATCGAGCCCCCTTGAAAGCCCTGGCCTCAGATAAAACAGGGCACAGATGAGCTACAAGAAAAGAACTCAATTTCCCCCATTCCTTTAACGAGTGATCGCTTGCCTCAGTACTTGGCGGTTAGTGCGTACGATCTGGTTTGGTTCTTGTGTGGTCTGGTTTAGTTCATCTCTAAATTTGATGGTCTGCCTTCCAAGGCATGACATCACTGCACTAAGTATATAACAGCGATGCTATCTGCTCACACAGCTTCGACTTAGGAAAATAATTACTCTAAAGCAGAGGCCACAACATTTTTTTTTCTTCTGTAAAAGGAGAGAAAAATATGCCCAGCTTTTTGGTCCTATCTCTCCTCCAGCTGCGACCATCTAAAGAAGCCTCATGCAAACGAATCCTGAGAGATGGCTCCCAGGGTAAATGAATTTGATTCTTGGAGCCCAGAAAGGAAGAAGGAGAGAAGCAACCCCATGAAGTTGTCCTCTGATCTCCGCCCACGCACAGTGGCATACATGTGTAACCAGCCTTTTTCTCTTCTGCCAGTCATCTACCAAACAATGACATGGAGACTTACTAGTTACAAAAGCTTGGCCTACAGTTTAGGCTTGGCCCTAACTAGCTCTTACAACCGAAATTAACCCACTTATATTAATCTATGTCCTATCACGTGGAGCTACCTCTCTTCTGTCTTGCACCTCCCATTTCCTCTCTGTGTCTCCTGTGTGCCTAGATTCCTCCTCCTCGTTCTCTCTCTCTGGAAATCCCGCCTATACCTCCTGCCTACCTAATGGCCATTCAGCTTTTTATTACACCAATCACAGCAATACATCTCCAAACAGTGCACAAATATCCCACAACATTTTCTTCTTTTGTCTAAATATAAAGGAAAGGTTTTAACTCTAATACAGTAAAATTATATACAATAAGAGCAATTATTAAGTACAAATTACATTCACAATGTCCAGTTAATTTGGATTTATTAAATTTAGAAAAATTACTCTATAATCTATCTTATCTTGATGAGTTCAAAGTTTCATACCTAAACCATTTTCTATTATAACTTGCATTACCATCCTAAAATTATCTTTTTAGATTTCAGAACTTTTTTTAGATAAACAATTTAAGCTTTTATAGCTTTTATCCTTATATGCTTTTTAATTCTTTTGTGAGTTTCTTCTGTGAATTTGGTAGCAAGAAAAACTATAACTATCTTGTCTTCAACTCCATCAGAGACCTGAGAAGGATATAAATTGAGTAAACAGGAAGCGCAGAACAAACTTCTAAAACTATAGAAATGACAAACAGCTGGCTGCTTGGACAGTCACCCAAATTTCCTCTCAAGGGTTCGGGTATCCATCTTCAGCCTACAGACGTACAATATTTGATAGACTTTTCTGTGAAGCAGGAATTTTGAAGGAAGGTCCTACCTTATCTTAGCAAAGTTTGGCAGTTGCTTTCTTTTGTGCCCTGCTTGTCCAGCCTGGACAGCATACTGTCAGCAGTTGGGGCAAGGGCAGCTTCTTGCCCAAATGGCCAGCTCTGCCACGTTGAAAGCAAACTCCATATGGAGGGTCTTCAATGCTTATTCATCCTTTTCTGAAGTAAACTGGGGCTGCCAGGGGCAGACATGTCTCACCGTCATGACGAGCTTTGTTATTAAAACATTGCCAGTGTCATATTCTGTATCTCTCTGAAATGTTTGAAGGTCATCTGTCTAAAATTTATCTCTATTAGACCTAGAAAACATACCTAACATGACTACAATCTGATTGTTGATGACTAACTACTAACTGTATTTCCTAGTTATCCTAAACAGTATGTAATATTAGTTTTCAAGGACTGGAACTTTACGTTTTTTTAAATGAGCTGCATAGGTACAATATCTTAACAAAAATACCCTTAAATTTGTATCAACATACAAAAATCCATACCAACCTAAACTATTTGCTTTTTAGTCTAAAGGTAGATTCAATAATCGAAACTTTTATCCTATCATTCCCATCCTTAAATCTAACCTTTCTTACCATTGCAACCAATCCCCTAAATGATGACAAACATCCATAACTGACCAAATGACCAAAACCCACCCACCACACCTCTTGGGAATGTGGCTTTTGTGTTTTTAAAATTACTTCCTGCTGTTTGAGGGTGACAGCATCTTCAGGGGCCCCGGAGAAAATTGAGGTCATGGTCAAGTCCTCTGAGATAGCAGCACTGAAGTTGTCTGAGTACTTCATAGTTCAGAATTAATCTTTGGGTGGTGCTTGTCATCTTAATGGTATTATCGCAACCCAGGTGGAATCATTATTGTTTACTATCCATCATCTCTTTGGAGGCTTTAAAGGTCAATGCTAGAAATGGTCATGGTTCACTACAAAAAACTTAAACATTTTAAATGTCACATAGAGCAGATCTAGGAGAGGTTAAAGGACTCTTGTAGCAGGAAAGCCGCTTAGCTCCAAAGTAACAACACAGAAACTATATTAATTAAAACA